TCTCTCTCTCTCTCTCTCTCTCTCTCTCTCTCTCTCTCTCTCTCTCACACACACACACACACACACACACACCCTTCCCCTGACTGAACAGCTGTGTCTATATTATGTCCTACAACATGATACCAGCAAATATCACTGTCCATTCTTCTGTCTCCTTCCTCCAATGCCACCCTCAATGGTCCCTTACATTCTTCAGTTATAAAACAAAAAGGAGGCTCACCAACCATCATAAGAGAAAGAAATGTATCTGGTTCTATCATGGATATCATGAGACAACCAGAGAGAAATATATTGGGAAGTTTAATTCAAAAAGGAGAAAGACCAAAGGACAGTCACCATTGAAGTCTATGCAAAGGTACTCACAACCTCAGCAAATGATTCTAAATTGAAGAATACACTCTTCCTATCAGGAAGGAAGCGATGAACACTAAAACACTGACTCCTTGCTAAGCAATAAGTGTGGCTGTGCAAAGCAAATTCTGAAATCTTCCTCTTTGGAAGATACTCTCAGGAGCTGCTCTCTAATGAGAATTCTCCCTCCTGTTTCATTAAATGCTTTCAGAATAAGGGTAATGACATGCACCAAAGCATTTTCTTCTAAGCTGGATATCAATGATTAAATCCACTGTACACTGTAAATTAACTTTAAAACCTTTTATGAATTGAGCATCTCCCTCACAACACACAAACAAACATGCATCTCAGGGGTTTTCTTTTACCTGAAACAGCAAGTCATGGAGTCGTCCTTTAGGTAACTACTTTCAGAATGACTCAGTAGTTGCTATGAAAAGAATTTGTAAGCAGCTCAATATGACCATGTTAACCTTTTTGCCCATAATATACTTTATTGCTTTATAATCTTTTAGTGACTTTCCACTTGGGAACCAAAGGAAAGGACAAGGAACATGGAACGTCTGAGAATAGAAGTCTCCACTTAAGGCTTGTATAAAAAAGAAGAGTATTCTGGGACAGCTAGGTCACACTCACCCTTGGGTATTTAAAACTAACAATGCAAGTGAACTGTCTTCTGCAAATGAGTCACAGAATTACTCAATCTTAAAAGAAGAATACAGGGACAAGGCATATAACTCAATACTAGAGCATTTGCAAAGACCTGTGTTTGATCCCCAGCACTGCAAAAACAAAACCCTTCATAAGTCATTCAGTGCAACCCAATTTCAGATGCAGAAGTCCTGTCTCATTAAGTCTCTGCTTGATCCCTAGAATTAGGGGCTTACAATCCCAGGATGTGTGTGTGTGTGTGTGTGTGTGTGTGTGTGAGAGAGAGAGAGAGAGAGAGAGAGAGAGACAGAGAGACACAAACAGAGATAGGCAGACATACACATACACACACACACACACACACACACACACACACACACACTGACGGATCTTACAGGTAGATCTGAGACTCTGAGGACACTAATGCCCAGGAGCCTAAGCTGAATTCAGGTCCTCAGGACAGAGCTCAGTGTACTGTCCTATTCTGAGAAATTAAAAGTATTTGGGTTTTTTTTTCTCAACTAAAATCTGTTTCCTAGCGACTGCCAAAATCTCATCTCTCAGAAAATGGAAATGGGGGACAGAATACCTATTTAATAATGTAAGTTACATAATTACACGCTGCCTGTTTGGCAACTCCTCCTTTTTTGAAATAAAGCTGGGAATGAGAAAAGAAGCCCAAATCTTTTGAACAGCCAAAATAGATACAGCACCGATGCCCACGGCCTTTCCTCATGCGACAAACCTCACACACTGACACGGACAACGGGTTCTGAATTCATAGAGTACGCTCACAAGCTCCACTGCTTTCACAGCCCACAGTAAATTAAGAGCAAAAATTCAAAGAGGGTAGGGAGCTTTGCTAGCTGCAAGTATATTAATAGCTAGGGCTATTTTTTTTTTAAATCACTAACAGCCAGGAAAGTCATTAACAGCAGATCTTCTGGTGTCCAAAGCACAGAGAAATCTGGTGCTTCTTTTATAAGTCAACAGTTTTGTATCTCACTGGCCTAGAAAAATTTGGAGACATTAAAATAATACTGATATATGGGAGACAAGGATACAATTTCACATTTTAATTTTTTTTTTCAGGAAAGAGGCCTCTGAATTTATATAACTAACATGCAATATTACCTATTTAAAAATTCCATTTTATAAAAGCTTCTGCAGAAACAATTTACTTTCCAACTGCACGTGACAGTGGTGGAGAACCTACGGCATGCATGCCACAGCAGACTGCTTGTTCTCCCTGAAAGCTCTAGAAGGTTCACCGTCACTGTTCCACCCAAAGGATTAAGATCTCATGATGATAGTTATCTCTGACAGAAGAAAAATACTTTTAGCCCAAAGTCATTAAATTTGTTCTCATTAATACCTACACTCTTAAGTGTTTTTAAAATTCTCTGTGTTAATTCAGCTTTAAAAAAACGAGGCCTTGTTCTCCTCCTCACCTATATTCAAACAACAAGCAAAGCTTTCAGGGGTCACTACCATGTTTCTGAAGGTCATATATCTCCAAAACACTAAGTCAGAACCCATGTTAGAGCTATAAAACCAAGCTTGTCCTGCAAGTTAATGAGTGAATATGACACTGTCTAATTTGCCCATCTGCTCTCCCACCAGGCAGTCCTGGTTTAGAAACAATCTATCTCAAAGCATTCAAATGGATTCTCTTGTTTCAGCAGATGTTCTGTGCACTGAACAGCAACTATTTCCATATTTTCTATATGGCAAAAGCAACTGGCTTTCACTGACCTTATCAGACCCAAAAGCTACAACTCTTGTTGCATAGGTCCGGCTTTACCTTGGTCTTAACCATCCAGTAGAAAAGTATAAAAATGAAATATAAGAAGTAAAGCCATGCTGTTATGTTGAGCTGTAGGGGACTCAGGTCAACAATTTCTGACATTGCCAGTCAAGCGGAAGACCCAATACTATTATGGGCTACTGGACTCTTTTAGAATATTTTACTGAGTTTACACACCTATAATATTCAAATAACGGAACTTAACCAAAAAAGGGGATACCGATGAATGTCCATTTTGTATCTGTGTATTCAAAGTGGTTAGGATAGATATATAGTTACATTCTCATAATGAATAGAGGGATTTGTTCTAATGGTGTTTGTAAATAGGATATCATGTCCGCATCTTGTACAGCAGTTAACCACTAGGAAGAATGTATGCAATGTGTGAATTATTGAAACTGTCCTACCAATTTTATTCAAAACTGCCTCATTGCTATTTGTTTATCAATAAAATTATGGGGAAAAAAAGCAACTGGCTTATGACCCTAATTTGCATTCACTTTGGCAGTCTTCTGTGTCTGGAGTTGGACTTGCACCATTGCTAGGACACGTAGGCGGCGGCACATGGATGCAGTTAAGACAACGGCCAGGATGTGCCCCATTGCCACCATCTGTGATGGAAGACAGGATGTGTTAGACGTGTTGTTTAAAGAGAGCAACTAAATGAGTATGTACCGAAGCTTTCAGGAAAATGGCCCACAATTAACTGACTGTTCAAAATCAAAGCCCCGACACTGTTAGAGCTATTCTAATATTAGCTATCAATGATGGTTAGTATTTTTGGAGTATAAACTCTTACAACACAAGATACATTCCTCCCCCCAAAAGAACCTGATGCTCTATAAAATTGTTTATTAAAAATATCAGGGTTCATTAACCACAGAGTAAGAAAACTATTCATATATATATATTCATACATATATATGGATCAACATGTCTAATAATAAAAGGACAAAGCACATAATTATAAATGGGCAAAAGATGTAGCTATTGACAAAAAAAGATACAATAGTCAATCAGCTCATGAGAATATCAGCATCATATTTAATCCTCTAAAAATGT